TTGCTTCTGCTTCTTCCGCTGCACTCCTGGTGCACCCCGTCAGGGGGCGTTTTACACTTAGACCTGCAATCAATTATGGGGGCGTGTCAAAATATGTTTACATATTTTGTATAATCGTTTGTAGTTGTAGTGTAGATATTGCGTCATGTTTGGTGGTGCACCTCCTTGTGTTGCTGTTTACCTATTTGTACTTGCTATTCTCATTAGTGAAGCCCTCTTTTGGCTTGCTATTTCCTCTCGTCACCCTCACCTAGTTCAAACCCTAAGCTACTATGCTCCTACTCTTAACATGTTGCTACAGCAGCCGCGGATAGCACTGTCAAACTCATATCATATAACTTGTCTAGGCTATAGTGGGGTAGACACTATGGGGTACAATTTCCTAGGGTTTCCTACTTGTACCCAACCTTGTGCTAGTTCATCCATTCCTCGTTCTCTCACATGGTATAGAGAAGGTTCCCTAGTGGGAACGCTTCCTTGGGCCCACCACTGAAAATTTTTTCTGACCAAAGCGCGAGTCGCTCCTGCCCGAGGCGCGCCTCGTGGGCTGCCCTTCTGTCTAGCTCTCTTAGAGGCCCCTCTGAGGGCCCCTTGTCGCCGCCCCTAGCGGCCCCGTCGCCGCCTCCCTCCCTACGCGGCCCCGTTGCTGCCCCTACGCGGCCCCGTCGCCGCCCCTAGCGGCCCCGTCGCCGCCTCCCTCCCTACGCGGCCCCGTCGCCGCCCCTAGCGGCCTCGTCGCCGCCTCCCTCCCTACGCGGCCCCGTCGCCGCCCCTACGCGGCCTCGTCGCTGCCCCTAGCGGCCCCGTTGCCGCTCCCCTCTTTACGCGGCCTTGTCACGGCCCCTACGCGGCCCCATCGCCGCCTCTACGCGGCCCGTCGCCGCCCCTAGCGGCCCCGTCGCCGCTCCCCTCCCTACGCGGCCACGTCGCCGCCCCTACGCGGCCCCGTCACAGCCCCTGGCGGCCCCGTCGCCGCCCCTACGCGGCCATGTCAACACCCCTAGCAGGCCCTTCGCCGCCTACGCGGCCCCGTCGCCGCCCCTACGCGGCCTCATAGCCGCCCCTACGCGGCCCTATCGCCGCCCCTAGCGGCCGCGTAGCCGCTCCCCTCCCTACGCGGCCCCGTCGCCGCCCCTAGCGGCCCCGCCGCCGCCCCTAGCGAGCACTCGAGCCGCCGAGCCGCCCAGCAGCCGAGTCGCCCAGCAGCCGAGTCGCCCAGCAGCCGAGTCGCCCCTGCAGCAGCCGCCCCTGGAGCAGCCGCCCCTGGAGGAGCCGCCACTACAGCAGCCGCCCTTGGAGGAGCCGCCACTGCAGCAGCCGCCCCTGGAGCAGCCGCCCCTGGAGCAGCCACCCCTGCAGCTGCCGCGGAGCTCTCGCCCTACAGTGGTAGCGGCCTCGCCGTTGCCGCCATCGTACGCCTGCCCTTCTCGCCATTGGAAAGCACTGCCCTGCTCGTACTGCTGTTACTGCTGCTCTTGCTGCTACTGCTCTTTCTACTGCTACTACTGCTCCTAGCGTGGCCAGATGCAGCTCCAGCGTCGCCCGCGTGAGTCCCTCACCCCCCAACAGCTTCGTGAGTGGTATGCTAGTTGGGGTTGTCGGGTTGGCCACAGTGGGAGTCGTTCTGGAGTGAGTAGTTCCGTAGCTGCTTGTAGTGGCCGGATGCAGCTCCAGCATCGCCCGCGTGAGTCCCTTACCCCCCAACAGCTTCGTGAGTGGTACGCCGATTGTGGTTGTCGAGGTGGCAGTAGTGGGAGTCGTCCTGGAGTGGGTAGTTCGGGAGTTTCTTGTAGTGGCCCGGTGCAGCACGAGCGTTGTCCGCGCCAGACTCTTTCACCCCAGCAACTTCGTGAGTGGTACGCTTAGAGTGGAGGGTCGTTGAATCCTGCTCGCTGCCCGTACGTTGTTAGCACGAGTGTCCGGACTGGTCGGACTTGCGGGACGCGTGGTCACACAGAGTGCCGCTGCTTCGCCCGTCTGAGCGACGCTTGGCGTACAGAGTTTGGCGACGACGCTGAGCTCCTCGAGTGGGTGGAGCTGCTTACGCAGAGGGTAGATATCTTTGCTCTTGACTATGATGCTATTCTCACTGCATTGTATGCATTGTCTACTAATGCCGAGGGAGTCTGTCACCTTTGTGTGCCGCCTGACCCCGGTATCCAGTCTGCTGCTATAGGTGCTGGTGAGGCTGCTGCTCTAGGTGCTAGTGCATCTGCTGCCACAGGTGCTTGTGAGTCTGCTCTCTCAGATACCACGTCCGCTCTAGCCTTACACACCTTCACCCTTGACTCGGGTGCTTCTCGCTCCTTCTTTCGAGACCGCACCACGCTTACGCTGCTTAGTCGGCCGGTTGCGGTCTCCCTGGTGGACCCTTCTGGGGGTCCTGTCCTTGCTAGCTTCTCCAGTGTCTTACCATGCCCGGCAGCCCCCTCTGGCACCCTGTCAGATCTCTACCTCCCTCGTTCTCTACGAACTTGGTGAGTGGAGCTGATCTACAGGATAGGGGAGTTGACCAGTTCACTCCTGCGAGTCAGTGGGTGACTCACTGCTCGGACGCTCGCACAGGCCTGTCACTAGAGCTACACTGTGAGATCCCCGATCGATCCTAGGGGGGGTTTCAGGCGCGGTTGCCTGGGGGGGTATGGGCGCACTGGCCCGCTACTGAAACAAGCCCTTTTATCCCAATGGTCTAGTGGTTGGGATTGTGCCAAGGCTGACACTTGGCCACGTTCACTCGTCGGCCGGGGTCGAGCCTGTACACACTTACTACTGAGTCTCCTCCGACTGCTGAGTCTGGTCAGGTAGCTGCGTCGAGTCAGGTGTTTGCTGCAGCGTCCATGTTTGGTCTTGAGTCTGCTCCCTGCTCGTGTCGTCTCGTGTCCCACCAGACTCTCCTCTGGCACCACCGCCTTGGTCACCCATCCCTACCTCGTCTCCGAGGCATGACCTCCCGTGTCCTTGTCTCTGGTCTCCCCTGGTCTCTCCCTCCCCTACCTCCGAGGCCTGCCCCTATCCGCGTCCCCTGCGTCGAGGGGCGACAGCGCGCCGCCCCTCACTCCTCCGAGTTTCCTCCGACAGAGGCTCCGCTGCAGACTCTCCACATGGACGTGTGGGGCCCTGCCCACGTCAGTGGGTAGGGGCGCGAGCGGTACTTCCTGCTGGTGGTTGACGACTACTCGCGTTAATCCACAGCCTTGCCCTTGCGCAGCAAGGGTGACGTCACTGAGGTGTTGATCGAGTGGATCCACACAGCTTGTCTCCAGCTCAGAGAGAGTTTCGGCTCGGACTTTCCTGTTCTGCGTCTGCACTCTGACAGAGGCGAGGAGTTTTCCTCTGCCCGTCTGGGAGCCTTCTGTCGTGCACAGGGCATCCGCCAGACCTTCACGCTTCCGGCCTCTCCACAGCAAAATGGGATTGCTGAGCGCCGCATTGGCATGGTCATGGACGTCGCTCGTACGTCCATGATCCATGCGGCTACCTCCCATTTTCTGTGGCCGTTTGCGGTTCAGTACGCAACGCATCAGCTCAACCTTCAGCCCCGGGTCTCCTTGCCTGAGACCTCCCCCACCTTGCGGTGGACGGGGAAGGTTGGCGATGCGTCTGCGTTTCGGGTCTGGGGATCTCGGGCGTTTGTCCGCGACTTGTCTGCGGACAAGCTGTCCCCCCGTGATGTTCCCTGCGTCTTCCTTGGCTTCCCCCCTGACGCGTCTGGGTGGTAGTTTTACCACCCCACCTCTCGCCACGTTTTGTCCTCCTAGGACGTCACCTTTGACGAGTCGGTGCCTTACTACCGTCTCTTCCCCTACCGCACTGGGCTCCTCCCCCCGCCGCCGCTCTTCCTTGCGCCAGGTCCTCCCCCGGTAGACCCCCTCCCCCCTCAGGGTCCTGCCCCGTCAGGTGTGTCCCAGGTAGACGCAGTCAAGCCTGTCCAGGTAGCTGTTGTCTCTGGTGCTTCTAGAGGTGTTGTGCCTGCGGGTGCCGGGTCAGGGGGTGCGGAGCCTGGGGGTGCTGAGTCCAAGGGTGCGGATCCTGGGGGTGCTGAGTCTGGGGGTGCTGAGCCTGGGGGTGCTGAGTCTGGGGGTGCTGAGCCTGGGGGTTCTGAGCCTGGGGGTGCGGAGCCTGGGGGTGCTGGGTCTGGTCGTGTGACCTCTCGCGGTGCTTCGTCGAGGCAGGAGTCACTCTCTCCGCAGGAGCTACGCGAGTGGTTTGCTCGGCGCTGGAGCTGTGCTGCTAGAGCTGGAGGTACTACTGTTGGTGTTGGTCCCGGAGGTGCTCGTACTGGCGGTACTGGAGCAGCTGGGGCCCTGGGTGCTGCTGGAGGTACTGCTGGAGCTGCGGGCTGTACTGGAGCTGCCGGTCCTTCTGGAGTTGGTGCGGCTGGAGCTGCTGGAGCTACTGGAGCTACTGGAGCTGGAGCTGCTAGGGGTGTCGGCGCTGGTGGTTTTGCTGGCGCTGGTGCGTCTGAGGGTGCTGAAGTTGGCGCTGTTGGCGCTGGCGGTGCTGCTGACACTAGTGCTGCTGCTGGGGGTACTGGTGCTGTCCCTGCTGGTTCTGGAGGCATTGCGCGGCCGCGGGCGTACTTCGTTCCAGTACTTGAGCAGGTTCTTGGTCTCCCTCCCTCTACTGGTCCTGCTCCTCTCTTAGAGTGTCCACAGCGTGTCCAGTCGCAGTCACAGTTACAACCCGCCTCCCCCCTGCCTGCTCCTTCTCCCTACACTCGTCCTAATGGAGGTCTTGCTGAGCGTCGTGAGCCTGCGTCTCGTCTTGCGTCGCCTGTTCGTGCTGCTCCCACTAGTCGTCGTGCTCCGCGTCCACGTCCTCCTACGGTCCCAGGCTCACACCAGATGGCACTGCGTCCGTCCACTGCTCCTCTGCGTGTCCCATTTCCGTCTCCTCCAGAGTCCTCTCTTCCTGACCTTGATGACCCGGAGTCTGACTCTCTCCGTGCTGCCAGTCCTACTGTCACGCTAGAATAACATTACCTCGACCTTATCTGCGTAATGATACTTGAAGGACTCCGAACCTGCCACGCCTCCGGAGTAGAGCAGGAGTGCCGCAGTTCCGCGTCGACCACAATGTCAAGGTGCGTGGTGAGTCAGGTATGTATGTTCCTTGTCGCTCCTTTTCCGCCCTATACCCCAACCTATCAACGTTTCTCGTTTCTCAGCTTTCATGCTCTCCCCTCGTTTTCACCGCCCTCCCCTCATTTTCACCCCCCTTTCCTCATCGTTTCCGCTCTCCCCTCATCTTTTCCGCTCTCCCCCTGCTCTCCCCTTTGCTCTCCCGCTCTCCCATCTTACCCTCTCCCCCCATCTTCCCCTCTCTTCCCCCATCTTCCCCTCTCTCCCCCCATCTCCCCGTCTCTCTTCCCATCTTACCCTCTCCCCCCATCTTCCCCTCTCTTCCCCCATCTTCCCCTCTCTCCCCCCATCTCCCCGTCTCTCTTCCCATCTTACCCTCTCGCTTCCCAAGGGGGTGAATCCCCTTGGGTGGTTGATTTTATGATAAGGGTGCTGATTCTCCGTGAGTGAGTGAGATGGAAAGGTTCTGTAACCCCTGGATGAGCGAGAAGGATGAAGGCTGATGCATCTGTGGGTGAGAGGAAAGCGGGTTGAAACCCCATGGGTGGATGAGTGACAACGAAGTAGGCTGAATCCTCTTTGGTGGTACAGTTATCAACAATTTGGGCTAAAACTCCTCTGATGGTTGAGTGGAAGCTGTTTGGGGTTCAGTGGAAGGTAAAGGGAGGAGAACCCTCCCATGGCATGGTGCATGACAAGTGGTGATTGGGAGGCCATGTGGCAGGGGATGAGCTTTCAAGGCGTGCGGCGGGGTGCAAGAGTGGCGGCAGGGAGGCGAGGGGGGAGGTGGTGATGTACGGTATGTGCGGCTGTGCCACTACATGCACTCTTGAATCTGCCACAACCTGAGAGTTTGTTCCTCGCGATTCTTTTCGTACGATACGAACGATATGTGGCCTTGGCTTTCCGACAAGTGTATATGAATGGTTGTTCTAAGTTGGGTTTTGTTGCCTTGGCATGGCAAGTGTAATATATGAATTACGGTATGTGTACTAGCGTGAAGAGACATGTATGAATACACACGGCTGAATCTAGAGCCATACTCTAGTAATATATGAATGGTGACTCAATCTAGGTGTCATAATAATATTGTTTTAGTTTAAGCCCTATTTCCGCCTTGCCATTGCCTCTTGTACTTCTAGATTTCACGCGCCCTATGAAGAAATCATGGGAGCATGCACACAAGATTTCCACGCAAGATTTTGCAGCACAAATTGTAAGGAATTTTCGTCAATTCCTTACTGAGGCACCTCTTACGCGTACAACCCCAATTTTCGGAGTTTCAGGCTCGGTCCGTCGACCTCGCCTTCTGAACGTCTTCCGCGTCGCCTTCGGGTTTTCCAAACCCAAACCTACACCCAACCCTCGCATGTATCCGCGGTCCCGGCTTAGCTAGCTATGCTATATTATGCCTAGGCCCCGTTGTTTGCTCAGTAGTTGTAATCACTTCTGCGATATTGAATTCTGCGCACTCTTCTTTCATACAACTCATAACACCTGGTATCAGAGCTACTTTCCTAGGTTACCCTCCACTTTCCCGGGTAGTTTAGTATCGGGGTGCGATAGGTTTGGTGGGCTGCAAAGCGGTCGGCTGAGAGATAGATACGATTATCTCGCTCCGACTAATAGCGTTTGCGCCTTCATCAAAACCAGAAAAATCGCTGTTAACCCCCTGCCTGTTAGACGAAGCCTGCGACAGATGGACCAGGCGGAGTTCAACGAGTTCATGCAGCAATTCCGGGCGATGCAGGCCAACATGCAGACTATGTCTGGCGAGTTGGAGCGCCTGAGGGCGGAAAACGCCGAACTACGCCAGACGCGAGGTGAAGCGCGTCAGGAGTCGCCCGCCGTGGATGAAGCGAGTAGCAGTTTCGCACCTAACGATGAGGTCCTCAGCGAGCTATAGAACTCGCTCGACGCTTAAGACGAGGGAATGGCACGGATGCAACGAGCACAAAGGACGCAGGAGCAACAGTCACAGCCGAGGCAACAGTCGCAGACGACACCACGACAGGCAACAGCGACGACCCCGGTGATGGTTTCAATGGCGCCCTCGGTGCATGCAGCAGCAACAGTCTCGACAACTGTTAAGATAAAACCGACGAACCCGCCCCCGTTCAACCCCAGCGACAAAACCGTCACTGTGTCGGCTTGGTTGTTCGGTGTGGAGGTATTTTTCAATGCTGCGCAAATTGCTGACGATGCCACCCGCATTAATTTCGCAGTATCACTATTGCGAGGACCGGCGTTGGAGTGGTGGAAGCGGACTCTTCAACCAGAGGGGGCTCTGGCAGGGACATCACGTGCGAACGACGGGACCTGGGCAGCTGTCACGCAACAGGCAACTTCAATCTTCGGAGTGGCTACGATACGCACATGGACGGAGTGGGGCGCCGCGCTGCGAAGCAGATTCGAGCATGTATCCGCCTCGGATTCTGCCCGCATGAAGCTGCGTACCTGGAAGCAGGTGGCGTCGGTCCAGGATTACACGACGACATTCTGCAATTTAGCTGACCAAGTGGACGACATGAGTGACGCGGAGCGACTCGACCGCTATGTCGCGGGCCTCAAGTATGAAGTACAGTACGAGGTGTGACGGGCGAGGCCACGAGTTTTTCTCGAAGCCGTCCAGGTGGCTGAATCAGCGGATGCATTGATGCAATGGGCGAGAATGAGTTCCCGGGAGGGCACTCAATTTCGTGGACCGCCGCGCCAGCCCACGATCAACGGGGTGGATGCACCGAGGCGAGGACCCAACACGTGCTTCAATTGCAACCAACCGGGCCACTGGAAGAAGGAGTGCCCGAAGCTGAAACAGGGAAACAGGAACGACGGAGAGGGGTCGGGAAAAGAGACGAGTCAGTAGCAATCGGGCCACCTACTGACGCGACCCCGTCGCCCGGCAATCAACATCCACACCGAGTGGTGGTACCGATACGGGCTATCGACCGCAACCGGACGAATAAGGTGGATGAACATGTAGATCACCCTGTGCTGGTAGTAGGGAGGGTTAACGGGCATAAAATAAAATTATTCGTTGACGGGGGGGCGAGCCACAGTCTCGTGAACCTGGCGACGGCCAAAAGAATTGGAGTCAGGCTGGACAGGTGTCTACCAGAGATTGATGCGCAACTGGTGGACGGAACACCGCTGGCGATCAAGGACGAGGTCCGACAAATTCGGATGAAGTGCGGCGACGATTTCGGGTTCTCCATGCGAATGCTGGCGACAACACTGGACGGTTGCGATGTGCTGCTCGGAAGGGATTGGCTGCAGCATTTCAATCCGACCATCGACTGGACGACGGGAGCGATCACGGTGCTGTGCAACAGGGGGTGCGTGACACTTCTGAAATGGGCGGAGCCGGAGCCGACGACAACACGTGTCAATGCGATAACGTTGAAGAGGGCGATAAAACGGGGAGCGCAAGGCTACGCCGTACAGCTGTACGAGGTGGTGGCCTCCGATAAAATCGCCGACATCGACACGCTCTGCGCTGCTGTACCCGACGACGTGGCGACCATAATACGGAAGTATCCCAAAATTTTCGCGGATGACCTGCCTGATGGGTTGCCACCTCAGCGTCCGGAAGATCACAAAATCGAGCTGGAGCCAGGCGCAAAACCAACCATCCGGTCACAATGGCGGCTCAGCCAACCGGAGCTCGACGAGTTGCAGAAACAGCTGGACTATCTGCTCCCCAAGGGGTTTATCCGGCCGAGCACGTCACCGTATGCCGCCGCGATACTATTCACGCCGAAGAAGGACGGAGGCCTGCGCATGTGCATCGACTACCGAGCGCTGAATCGGGTCACGGTCAAGTCGCGTTTCCCGATCCCACGAACCGACGACCTGCTCGACAGCTTCGCGGGGCTCGGTTCTTCTCGAAGATCGATTTGCGAGGTGGCTACCACCAGATTCGTGTGTTCGCCGACGACTGCCCGAAGACTGCATTCCGCACCCGTTACGGCAGTTATGAGTACACCGTGATGCCGTTCGGGTTGACGAACGCACCCTCGACCTTCCAGCTCACCATAAATGGGGTGTTTCGGGACATGTTGGACAAGAAAGTTATTGTTTACCTGGACGACATCCTGGTGTACAGTAAGACGCGGGAGCAGCATTTACGGGACTTAGACGAAGTGTTCTAACGCTTGCAGCAGAACCGACTGATTACGAAGGGCTCTAAGTGTGAGTTCTTAAAGTCGGAGCTGGAGTTTCTGGGGCACGTGGTCTCAGGGGACGGCATTAAAATCGACCCTCGGAAGATAACAGCGATTTCGGAGTGGAAGCCGCCCACGAACATCACCGAATTGCAGAGTTTCCTTGGCTTCGTTAACTACGTGCGCCGTTTTGTACCCAATATGGCGGGGGTAACCAGGCCGTTAACCGACCTCCTGCATAAGGGCGTGCAGTTTTTTTGGGGGGAGAAAGAACAGTTGGCTTTCAACGAGCTGAAGAAAATTTTGAGTTCACCCCCGGTGCTTCGGCTGGCAGATCCATCTCGACCGTTCGAAGTCGTGACGGACGCTAGCGATTTCGCCGTCGGCGCTGTGCTATTACAGGATTTCGGCAACGGGCTGCAACCCATCGCGTACGAGTCAAGAAAAATGCAGCCGCCCGAGCGCAACTACCCGGTTCACGACAAGGAAATGCTCGCCATCGTGCATGCGTTTCGTACCTGGCGATGCTACCTCACGGGAGCGGATGTCACAATCCGAACTGACCACAAGTCATTACAGTACATGCGCAGCCAACCACAGCTCAACCCACGACAAATCCGGTGGCTCGACTACCTCGAATCAAATTTCCGCTACACCATCACATATAAAAAGGGCGCCAACAACATCGCCGACGCCCTGACCCGCCCATCCATACTGACCGCAGCAATACTAATCGCCCATTCCAACCCTTTATTGGCAGGATTATTCAAGCACGGCTACAGGATCGACAGATTCTTCAAGACCAGTCAACACTGCGGGGTCACTACTCCGCATGGGAGTTACTACCTAAAAGTCGGTACTAACCGAGTTTGGGTACCTTCCTACCGGCCCTTACGCGACTTGCTGACGCAGGAAGTACACGACTCCAACCTCTCTGGGCATTTCGGCGTCGACAAAACATTGAAGCTGCTGCAACGGAATTACTACTGGCCCGACATGGCGTCGGACGTGCAGCGCTATGTATCCGCCTGCCCGACCTGCCAGCCAATGAAATCATCACGACAACGCTTAGCTGGCTTACTGCAGCCCCTCGAGCCACCCGAACAACCGTGGCAACAGGTGACTATAGATTTCGTCACAGGCCTTCCAGCTGGCGCAAGTGGCAACGACTCCGTGCTCGTCGTCGTTGATCGCTTAACGAAAATGGCGCATTTCGCGCCCTGCCGTACAACGATCACAGCCGAAGAAACAGCGCGACTCTTCATCTCAACCGTCGTACGCCTACAC